GAGTTCGGCCCTTTTGATTTTCTGACTCCAACTCCTTGCACATTTCATTGTAATATTTTGCTTTGTCATCCCGTGCTGTCTTTTGAAATCTTCTATTCAACTCTTTAGTATCTTGAATTCTTCCCTGTGCTTTGGCTTCTCTGCGCTTCAGTGCAATTTTCAGAGTCTCTTCTGGCATCCAATTTGGTCTTTTCTTCCTCCTCTGTCTTTGCAATGACTGTTTGCACTCTTCCTGGATGATACCCTTGATATTCTCCCACAACTCATCTGGCCTTCGTTCATTAGTGTTCAAAGCCTCAAATCTGTTCCTGAGATGGTTGTGAAATTGAGGTGGGATAGACTCAAAGTCATATTTTGGTTGCCTTGGATTTGGTTTAATTTTCCTCAGCTTTAGCTTGAATTTGCATATGAGCAGTTGGTGGTCTGTTCCACAGTCAGCTCCTGGCCTAGTTTTCACAGCCGATATTGAACTTCTCCAGCGGTTCTTTCCACATATGTAATCAATCTTATTCCTATGCATACCATCAGGTGAAATCCAGGTATAGAACCTGCGTTTATAGCAAGTAATAAATGTTGGAAAGGATTTGGAGAGATAGAAACTCTTATACATTGTTGGTGGGATTGAAAATGGTACAACCACTCATGAAGGCAGTTTGGCATTTCCTCAGAAAGCTGAACACAGGAATTTCATATGATCCAGCTAGTCCACTGCTTGGAATACACCTTCAAGGAAATAAGAACTGAGACACAAACAGAGATTTGTACACCAGTGTTCATCATAGCAGCATTATTCACCATCACCGGAACATGGGAACAGCCTAAATGTACAACCAAAATCGAATGGATTGAGAAACTGTGGTACATTCACAAGATGGAATACTATGCACCATGTAGGAACAATGATTTTGAAAATCTCTGTACAACTTGGGAGGGACTGGAGAGCATTATGCTAACTGAACTATGTCAGTTCCATAAGGAAAAATACTGTATAAGATCATTATCGTAGAAATAAAAAGATAACTAATAAATTGTGTATGAGGATCCAAGGGGAAGAGGGGAGGAGCAGAGGGGTGAGAATGGTCAGAGGAGGTAATCATAGGGTCACACAATTCAATGGTAGAAGGAAGGGTAAGTAAAGGAAATGGGAAAGACCGTGTGTGTGTGTGTGTGTGTGTGTGTGTGTGTGTGTGTGTGAAATGTATACAAATTTTGTAAGCAAACTAGTATAAAAAAATAGTGATTTAAAGAAAACCCTATGAATTACACCAATCCAGTCCACAACTAGTTATGGGATGGTGCTGGACAAGGCAGTGTTTTGTTCTGTTGTGCATGGGACAGCAGGGAAAGGAGGGCCAATTCAAAGACAGTCAATAACAACTAGAACACATTCATTCCACTCTCCTAGGAGTAGTGAAACTGGTATATGGATTCACAATATCCCATGTGCTGGACAGGTTGTCAAGGCATCAGGTTCAGTCCTTATTCTTAGAGTTACATTCTCCTGGAAGCCAACTGAGATGAGAATCCAAAGTCTCACTTTATAGTTCTTATGAGTCAATGTTTTATCAGTTCATGATTAAATATTCTTTCTTGTGAAGAAAAGAAAATTTCTTGTTTCCATTGAAGATCATGACCTTGTTCCAAGCCCGACAGATACAAATAACAATATCTCTCAATAGAAGTGGAAACTTATCATGAAATGGTCCCTTTCAAACATGTCCACTGACACCCTTTAATATGAGGTATAGAGAGATTCATAAAACACTCAATCTCCAAAGAGTGATGACCAGAGAGATGTGGGGCCATCTGAAGTAGACTATGACATTCCAGAAATGACACAGTGTGTGCAAAGGCAAGAAATGCTAGGATAGCTTCAGGGAATTGTTGGTTTCTTCACATAGCAAGAACATGGAGCAGACAGATGGGGAGGCAGGGATGGGCAATGCTTATCACTCTAGGAATTAAGCCTGAGCCTGAAGGCAATGAGCCGCTTTTGAGTTAAAAGCAAAAGGAGATACAACATAATTTTCTTCAAGAAAGATAGCCCTGGCTGTAACATAGAAGCTGTATAGAAAAAGAAGAATGAAGAAAGGGAGACTGAAGGTTTTTGCAGAGATGTCAAGAAATCATGACAGGTTGAAGAGCAATGAAAATAATATTAAGGAAATGTACCAAATTGCTCCTTAGAGGCAAGGATTGGGAAGCTCTGTCTCACATACTTTGGGCATGTTGCCAGGAGGGACCAATCCTTGGAGAAGGACATCATGCTTGGCAGGGTGGAGGGACAGTGCAGAATAGGAAGACCCTCAATGAGACTGATTGATTGATACAGTAACGGGTAATGGGAGCAGGTGTGCTAGAGATACTGAGATTGACTCAGGACATGGCAGGCTTCAGAGCTATGTACACAGCTGACTTGATGACACATAACCACATATGATTTGGAGAGATCCTTAAAGATGGAACTTATGAGACTTGATAGCTAGGTAGAAACTGCAAGGAGAAAGAAGGTGAAAGCTAGAAGGATGCTCACATCTCTGGCTTGAGTAACTGGGAGGATGGATGGTGGTAACACTCACTGAATGGGGAGGGCAGGAGGAAGGATTCTGGATGAGAAGTTGAGGCATCCTTTTAGAGCTACAGTGCCTAAGGTCTTTTCTGTGAGACTGGTCATGACTAGAGTAACATAGAACATAGAGTAACATGATGGAAGCAACAACCTATAAAGACATGTTAGTGAAGATGACAAGATGCAACACACTCTCCTGACCTGGAAGGAGTGAATATCAATCCAGGAACAAAGAAGCAGAAGAACCTGCTGTGTCAGGGAGAACTAGCACATGGTCCTGTCGGCCACTGGAGGACCACGCAGGATGTCTACAGCAAATTTCCTAACCCTGGCTCTGCATTAGAATCACCCAAGATTTACCTAGCCCAGCTCAGATCCCACCTCCAGAATTTCTGAAGTAACTGGTCCAGGGTGCGGTATATTTTAAAAGCTCAGCAGATGTTTCTCATGGGCTATCAATTTTGTTTATCAATTTATAGTTATCAATTTTTATAACCACTGGTGTAGATAAAGTGCTTCACGAATTAATGCGTACCCAAAACCTGGCTTGCTGCAATGTGGATTCTGATTCAGTTGGTTGGGACGGGGTCTGAGAAGATGAATTTCTAACATGCCCTCAGATGCCGCTGATGCTGCTGAGTCCCAGAGGACTGGGGTGGAAGGGAAAAAGTTCTGTGGCTGCTGAATTAAGAGAGGAAAGGGAGGAAGGGATGCTCCTTACTGTTACACAAAGCAGCATGGGTCCTCGGATGATCCACCAGATTTTCTTGTTCTCATTGGTCCCCCAGCACCTAAAGGGAATGAGCAGGCAATGCAAGAAGGCTTAAAAATAAAACAAGGGACAACAGGAAAATCTCATATACTGTATGGAAGAGAGATGCTCACACTCAGGCCTGCTTCCCACTAACCAGTGTCCTGAGGAGCAGAAGAAAGGGCAGAGAGAACCAGCCGCCTGCCAGCATCACTAGCTCTGCTGTGTCTTCCTTCCTATAAATTGCTCTTCAGTGTTAACAGACTGTTGCGCAGCCTTCCATGTACTTCTCCACATTCATACAAACATATAAACACGTATCGTAGTGTTAATTATGTAGGAGGGTTTTTGTTTATAGTGGTGGTAGTGGTGATTCTTTTGGAAGGGAAAAATGAAATTATATTATATACACACACATATATATGTATGTTATTTAGCAATATAAACATGTTGTTGGAATTTATTCCTCAGAAGTCAAAATCTGCAGAACTCATTTGGTGGTAGGAGGAGAGAGGCGCCAAAACTCCCCAATACAACAATATATATGAATAAAATACAATGAAATCAAATTTTCATATGCAAACCAATAAAAAAATTTCAAAATCTAACCTCAATATTTTACGGTGTAAGTATACAATTTACACACTGATCCTCAGATTTATGAACTTCCAGGGGTTTTTGTTTGCGTGTTTCCTGGATGGTGCAGGACAGGACAGGGTTCAGATGAATTACACTTGATTTGACAGCGCTTAACAACAAGTTTACTTGTATTATTATTATTTTCTCACTGTGAATGATGCTATGATAACTATTCTACTTATTTCCTGGCATTAATGACCTTTGATAATTTGAATGTGTAACTAAATTTATAAACTACTATAAGTAGGGTTTTGATTGTTTGATCGACATCTCTAAAGTTTATATATTTAAGTGAGACAAAATAAGAGTGGATGGAATATATGGTCAAAGACAGTGATGCATTTCCTTATACCTGGGCATATCTGGGAGTTGCTGGTTCATGGAAGTGCATAACCAGGCAAAGGACCTACCCTTTGTTCTCCAGGTGAGCACGGACAATACTCCAAGGAACAACATATAGTACTGGGAATCCTGGGAAGAGAACAAAGAGATATGAAGTTAGGAGCGAGGTGGCTGAACCTGCTCCTCGCTCTGATGGGGCCAAACACAACTGATTAAAACTTAAACACAGAAGAATTACGGGCAGTGAGGGCTGCAGAGGCCCAGGGCATCAAAGAGCTCATCTACTGTTTTAATGTCACTGAAACCCAGATCCAGGAAGGAGAAAAACCTAGCCACATGCCACAGTGTAGCTTAGGAATTATCTCAACAAAATATCCTGATCACCAGACCCGTTGCTGTCTACTCAAGTCTCCTCCTGGTGAGTCCATGAGTAGGACTGTCCTAGGGTCTTCTTGGCTGTAGTTCTTATGGAAGCATGTCACTAGGCCATTCTTCCATGGTGCCTCTCAGCAGATTCAAACCATCAACCTTTAAGATAGTAGCTGAGTGCAAGCCATTTGTATTACTCAGGGAGTTCCTCAGGTTGTGTTTATTTCCTTGCAATCCTATCGCCTCAAATTCTACAAGGGTCTATAAGATAAATGTTCCAGACCTGATCTTTTTCTTCAATCTAAAAAAAATTTCATCACAGGGAGCTCTGGTGGCCTAGTGGTAAAATACTGCACTGCAATCCGAAGACACATGGTTCAAAGCCACTAGATGCTCCACTAGAGAAGGAGGGGTAGTCTCCTCCTGTGCCAGTCAGATCTGAATAGATGGTACACAACAACAACAAAAATTAAAAATAAACAGAACAGAATATCATAAAAAAAGTCATCGTAAAGACTCAATTGTCAGAAAGGTGAGAGGAATGGTGTTCAATTATAGCAAAGATCTTCTCAGTTCTTAGAGGTGTGCGCGGGGCTGACACACACACACACACACACACACACACTCCTCTCTCTTTTTTATTATCCTTTTATTATTCTGTCCTGTCATTGAGGACTTGTTAGTGCTGGATGACACTATTAATAAAGATGCTGTTGATAATGTCAAAGTGTTCTTGGTTGTGATGGTGATAATGGGGTCCTGGTGCAGTGGGGGTCCTGATGATGCTCTGGTTAGTAAACATGACAGTACTGATGCTACCTGGTGGTATGGTGGTGGGCAGTGTCTCTCCATATGGGGCTCTAACTCTAACCAAAGGTGGCTCTCAGGCTCCCATGTCCTCTTGGACACCCAGAGGAGGAGGCTGGGAGTTCAGTTCACTCACCCCAACCCACCAACAGATAACTTGGCCACAGCCGTCTTTCAAAAAGCAGTGAGGGCCCCAGCAGTGCGTGGAGGTAAAGGCCTTCGACCAGCAGCCATGAGTAATTGGCACCCACGAAGTAGTGCAGGAGAATCTGGGCCGAGCGACAGGAGCTGGACACCTGCAGAGGAGAGAGGACATGAGGGTACTCGGGATTTCTCAACAGCAGGATCCAGAGCACACGGAAAGTTCTCCTCCGGGCACAGCCCTCCCTCTTTACTTCCACTCTCTGACCATTTCTGAGAGGCTCACTGTCACAGAATACAAAAGGGGGTTTCCTGTGAGTGACAAAGCCCAGCCACCTTCCTGACATTTTAGAATGTTTTTAGAAAAAGATTTTAAAAATTCAAAACCCAAAACAAGCAAAAATAAAATGGAATAATTTATTGCCAACATCTGCTCTAAAGGAAATCCTAAAGGATGTGATATCTAGACCCAGTGCAATTAAGCTTCAAACAAGCTGCTGAAAGAAAACAAACAAACAATCCATACAACTGGAAAACAGGTAATGTACTTCTAAATATCCATAGGTTAAAAAAAATGTAAGTAGATACCAGAGATTATTTTTTAACTGAAACTAATGACATTTCAATCTTACACACTAAAATGTGTTCTATGCAGCTAACACTATATCTAGAACATAACTTATAACCTTAAATACATTTAGAAAAATATGAAAAGGCTGAGAATTAATTATTTTAATGTACATTGAGAAGGGTTAGAAAAAGAACAGTAAGTGAAATACAAATAAAACAGAAGGAAAGCTAGTCAAGACCAAAGCAGTAATTAATGAAATACAGAATAATCAGTAAAGGACCAGCAATGCCAGACAGTTGTCCTTTGGAAAGTTCAATAAGACTAAGAAGTTTGTGGCAAGGATAATCAAGGGCAAAAAGAGAGCCAAAGTACAAAAATCACTGGGACAGACTCAACAGAACTTGAAAGGGGGTGGGCAGGGAGAAAAATGCAACAATGAATGAATGGAAATCCAAAATATCTGTAAACATTCATTAAAATTAATAAAATATTTTTTTTAAAAAACCACACACCAAACAAAAAAAAGGAAAGTATTATCTTAAAATTTAGAAGAAATAAAGACTCAAGCAAGATCCACACCTCACTCCATATACAATAACCAACTCAAGGTGGATCATGGACCTACAACTAAAACCAAGGACTATAATCTTCATTAAAGAAAAGCTTGGAAGAACACTAAAAGTCCTAATCCACAGCATAAAAGTCTTCCAAGTATCCTGAAAAACATGTAACCAAGAGAAGATAAAATAGAGGAATGGGACTTTCTAACAATCAAATCCCTATGCACATCCAAAAACTTCTCCAACAGGGTAAAAAGGGAAGCCACAGACTAGGAAAAAGTATTTAGTAATGACATATCAGATAAGGGATTTATATCCAGAATTTATAAAATACTTGAGCACGACAAGAGAAAACTAAATAATCCAGCTGAAAAATGGGCACAGGATATGAACAGACACTTCACCAAAGAAGACATTCAGATGCCTAACAAGCACATGAAAAAGTGTTCAAAATCCCTAGCTCTAAGAGAGATGCAAATCAAACAACTATGAGATATCATCTCACCCCAGTCAAAATAGCAAAATTTAACAGAATAGCAAGCAACAAATGATTGTGGAGAAACTGGAACCCTTGTTCACTGTTGGTGGAAGTGTAAAATGGTGCAACCACTATGGAAGGTGGTGTGACGCTTTCTCAAAAAGTTGCAAATAGAGATACCGTTTGACCCAGCAATTCCAATACTGGAAATATACACCAAAGAGAACATAACTGACATCCAAGCAGATATATGCACACCTATGTTTATCAC